GCACTGTAGCAGTTTTCGTTGTTATTTGATAATTAGTGTTTAATCATAGTCTAATTAGGCTTAAAAGATTCGTCTCGTTGATTTCATCTAAACTGTGTAATTAGTTTTATTTTTTATTTATATTTAATGTTTCATACATGCGTTCAAAGATTCGATGTGACGGGAAATCTTGAAAATTTTTGCAACTAAACTGGACCCAGCTAGCCAAGGCCTGCATCCCGGATGCGGGCCAGACTGGACAGGGAAGGCATCCAAACACGCTAAAAACCGAGCTCCAAAGAAAAACTTGTGCGAGGCGGTGAGTACCATCGAGCATCCGCCACTGCCACGCCAAGGCATGCCTCCCCACAAAAGTCTCCCTCGTCTCTCTTTTCTGAGTGTTCAAGAGCAACAGATGAGAGAGAGAGAGAGAGAGGAGGAACGACAACTGCTAGGAGCCCGTGCAGTGCAGCAATGGGTTCAGTCGGAACAGCCCAAATAACTGGGGCAGCCGAAGCGGCAGCTAGAGGTCACGCGAGGAGGTGACTGGGACGTCGAGTTTGCAGGCTGCGCCCAATTTGGCCGATGATTAGGCCTCGGGCTCGTCAGAGATAGCGGCCAATGCATTTTATCATATATATTGTTGTTCACTGGAACAATTACCGGTACATCATACATCAATATACAATAGCCGTTTCGCTGAAAAAACAAGCCGAAACACTGTTTCAGCTAATTTGTTATAAGAGAAAAATATTGTTCCAACTAAAAAAACAAGCTGAAAAGTACAGATTATAAGACAAGCTAAAAAATACAGATATCTTAAATGAGGCAAGAATCTACTTTCACCTAGGCCTAAAGAAGAAATGATTCCTTACATACTACTGGGATAAATATTTAACTTTTGATATAGCATTGTAGTGACTATAGAGGGTTCCTTTATCATATACAAAATAGTTGGTTTTTTTACACCTCTTATCTGGATACAAATACAACATCTGTTCGTATATAAACACACACCTACACTATGCACACGCACACCACACTCACACACCTTATACGCGACAGGATCTACAATTATACACAGATACAAAAACGTGTCTTTAGAGAGATCACTAGAGACAACGAGGCTACGTAGGCGACAGGCGCGTCACAGTACCTCCATGGCCCCACGTGTTGAGAGGCCGCACTGAAATTTTATCACGGGGAAAACCCCGGTGAGGAAACACTGCACGGTCAATCTCAGGATCGAACTTGCTTTCGGCCGTTCGCCCACTGCGAAGACGCCCGAGCTAGCGCCCTCATATACAGGATACTGACACTACGTACTCTCTCTATTTCTAAACAAATCAACTTCTAAATTTGTTTTAAGTCAAACTTTTTTAAATGACCGAATTTTATAAAAAATAAGGCCGATATTCATGACACAAAATTAATATAGTTAGATACTCCGTTTGTTTCAAATCGCAAGTCATTTTGGCTTTTTCTAGGTGCGTAGCTTTTATATTTATCTAGATATAGACTATGTCTAAATATAGTGAAACTTATGAATTTTAAAAAGCCAAAACAACTTATAGTTTGAAAAAGAATGGAGTACAATATAAAATATATTTTTAATATACTTTTTTTTGGCATAGATGTTAATATTCTTTTATATAAAATTAGTTAATGAATTAATCTAAAAAGTTTGACTTAGGACAATTTAGGATTTGATTTATTCATATCGGAGGGAGTACGCCACAAATTGTTTCCTCTGTTGTATTTACTCCTAATAAGAGCATTTTCTCCGAACAACTCCCCCAATAAAATAGTACCGAGGTCGTTGAAATTATGTTTTAATTATTAGGAGAGATACTACAATAGATCACCGAAAATCTCCGCCAATATGTGGGACCTACCTGTTAATTACATTTATTTTCTTTTTCCCTCTCCCCTCGATTCATCTTCTCCTGCGCCACGACTTTGCGAGCACATCCTTCAGCCGTCGCCACGACCTAGCAAGAGGACATCCTATCGTCATTGAAGTTGTTTGACTAATTGTTTTTAGCCGGTTGATGTTGTTTTATTGTGAGAGAAAACATTGTAACATGACTGATAAGTCGGGCTGATAAGTTCAAGCGAACATGGCGATTGTCCCTAGCCTAAACCTCTGACCCTGCCGCCCTGGTGTCGAGCACGACGAGGAGTGCAGGCCTCGGCCAGCTCCAGCGTGGCAGGCCGAGGCGCAGCGGCGCATGGGCCTATGCCCTGTTCGCTTGGCTGATAAGCCATAGCTGAAAGTACTGTTGACTGATTTGTTGTAAGAGAAAAATACTATTCATTGGCTGAAAAAGTACGGCTTCTAAGCCAAACAATCAGGCGCGCTAGTCAATGGCCACCTCCTGAGCATGTTCGAAACCATGGCTGCAATGGAGGCAGAGAGAGGCGAGAGGGAGGAGGACAGTGACAGGTAGGACAATAACTTATTGGAAGAGATGTAACTCCTCTCTTTGAGGGGAGAAGAGAAGCTTTTTTGGTAGCAAAAAAAACAGTGTATTGAGAAATGTTGAGTAACAAATTAACTCTCAGCCTGTTTGGTTGGCTAGTTCGTTTCGTTGCTGGTTCGTGAAGAAGTACTGCTGGCTGGTTTGTGTGAGAGAAAAATATTATTCCGACTCGAAATTTATGATCGTTTACGACAAGCCATAGCCAAACGAACATACTGTCTATCTCTTCAAATTATTTGATAGTTTTATGGGGACGAATAGTTTTATTTGAAACTGCTGGAGAGGCTCAGAGCAAATTGTCTAAGAAAAATTTACCACTCCCAGCGGGAAAATTATACGCAGCGGCGTTGCACGAAGGAGCGCGTGCGACATGGCGATATTATGCGACACGTGTCCCGCTGGCCCCACCAGTTGTTGCGCGTTCGGTGTTCCGTGGCGGCTCGCGTGTTCAGACGGAGCCGTGCGGTCCGCTCCAGTACGAGTCGGCTCCATGGAAGTTAGGGACTAAAATCCGCGCAGGTGAATTGCCCCATCGTCCGGGCACCACCACTGTCCACCGGAGCGGCGGGGCCGAGCAACGCGAGGAGGCGAGCTTGTGAGTTGTGAAGGTGGCGTCGACGAGGAGCTGGAATCCCTGTTGCAGAACTTCCACGGAGCTGGCTCCAAAGGATGACGCCTCGCTGAACCTGCACGCTGCTGATGGCGGGCCAACAAGCTACAGACTCTCGGCTCGGTCACCCGGCGCTGCTAGCCAAGTAGCCATCTCGCCTGGTGGGCCAGCAGGACACGCGTCGTCGGTCTACGGGGTAGCTGCGTGCGGCGCCGCTGCAAACAATTTTTCCCTCCCGTTCGGGCGCCGCTTCATTCAAAATCCCGCCCATCCCCCCCGTATTGCCCCTCGGGAGTCGCCGAGTCGGGCGCGGCTTTCAATTCCAGAATTTTACATTAAAAATAGCAGATACGCCCAGATGTTATGACTCTTTTTTTTTTTTTTTTTTGTTGTCTTGCAAGCCATTTCGTCCGCTCTCACAGGTAACGGTGTCAATCCGTATAGGGAAAAGTCCAATGCTCTTGGGTGCGAACGCAGCGGTCTTTGTGCTTGAAGTGCATGCTTGAGCTCCATGTCCCATTTGTCGGGGAGATGCTGGGTGCGAGCTCCATCTCCGCGATTCCCCCACTGCTGGCACAGGTTTCGGGCGCCCCGCCCTATATCCTCCAACACCGGGTGTAAGCGAAGGCGCGCTGCCCGCCACGCACGAAGCTCCATTGGCGGCTCCGGCCTCACCGCCTGGCTGGTGCGGCGTCCTCCATGAACATGGGTTGAAGCGCGCGCGCTCGCTCGCGCGCTGGAGGAGAGGCGGGTGCATGGAGCGCGCCAGGAGGCGGACGCCCACACGGCCTTGGTGGCAAGGAAGAAGCCCTGCAGTAGCGGCTCGAGCAGGACCTCATCTTGGCGTCGGTGTCCAGCTCGAAGTCGCCATGGAAAGCGCGGTTCAGGAAGCTCTCGAGGTTCAGGCCGGGGCTGGAGAGGCTGCGGAGGTGGGTGGACAATGGCCTTGTTCAGATATGTCGCATGAGGAGCGCGGCCGACGTCATCTGCAAATTACTGCTGGCGGCGGAGATCTCGATGTAGCTCGGGTAGTCAGGGTGTGCGGTTATTGTCTGCTCTGCTTTAACTCTCGAGGCGGCGGTACAAGATCTCATCTCGAGGTCAGCAATGGCGGCCGGACTCGTCTATCCGCCCATTTCAGTAAATTACAAGACACTTATCTCGGCAATGCATGCGAGCAAGCAAGGTCGAGCCGCATCTCTTCCTATGCAAACAAGCAAGCAAGGGAGCTGCAGCGTTCAGCGGCACCATCGTCGGGTAAAAAAAGGAAAACATGGCTGCGGGGCGCGCGGCCGGCGATAGGGTGCGCCCTCGGCGGGGAGCGCGCATCCGGCGGCGGTGTGGCGTGCAGGGACAACGAGCTCTGGCCACGTGTGGCTCCTCATCTCCAGCCGTACCCTTGCAGAGGTGCACAACAGAGCAACAATGGCGATGCGAACGCTCCACCTGGATGCTGTACGTGCCCGCGGGGAAGTGGCTCACGGGGCCTTTCAACCTCACCAGCCACTTCACCCTCTTTCTCCATAGCGACGCCATCATCCTCGTCTTTGAGCTACGTGCGGGCAGCATCCAGCTTAGGTGACAGATTGAAAAGGAAGAAGGTGCCCGGGTCACTTACAGCTTAGCCTCACTGGGCAAAGAAAAAAGAGGTGAAAGGACAAGGTTGAGAGAAAGATATTTTGGGCATCATCATCGCCTAGGCCCACATGTCAGGACTGTCAAACGTCAGAAACCTGACAGAAGATGAACGGAATGGTTTGGAAGAAAAAAATAATAAAGTGTTACGGTAAATAGAGGTGTCCAAACTTTTTAGTGATCTAAAAGAGGGACCATTTTTTTTTAATGGAACACGTGTAAAACTCTCTTTCATTTCCCCTCCCGCGCCTACTCGCTTTCTCCGCCGCGACGCTCGCCTTTCAGGTTCCAAGATGACGCGCCGCCGCCGCCGCGGTGGCGCTCGGGGGAGGGTGCCCCGGGAGCTCCAGCAGGCCTACGGCGCACTCGCGCGCACTCTCGGCCACGCCGTCCTTTCGCTCCTCCCACCGCCGCAGCCGGCGGACACACCCTGCTCCGCCGCCTGCCGGGGGCGCGGAGGCGCCGGTTGCCTCGCGTGCCGCCGCTGGGGGTACCTCCTCCGCGATGGGGACCCGGTCGCGTACCGCAACCTCATCACCCGCGCTGTCTGCGCCGTCGCGCCGGCCGGGTCCGCACCCGCGCCGCCGCGGTACACGCCGGGGAATGCCGGGCACTCACAGGCCAAGGTTCCGTGCGATTGCGCTTCTCCACGTCTCGTCTTTTTTTCTTGCCTTTCTTGTTTTGTGCCTACCGTGCATAGATCTCGATTGTTCTTATTGCCTACTCCGTATTTGAGATTGCCGGTTGTCTGCCTGCATGTTGCTCGACGTTTAGCTCGTTCGGGAGATGATCAAGTCGATAATGGCGGGCCGGGCGTGGACGACAACGAACGTCCTCTCCAGCGGTTGCCGTGCGGTATTGATGGCTTCTAAATCCTACAGAATGACTCTCGCAGTTCTATTAATATCTATGTCTTCCATTGCCTTCTCCATATGTTTATCCATACACATACATCTGAGTAGCAATACTACATAACTTTTCCTTTTTATTTTGCCTACTAAAATAAGTATGAGCCAGGCAACCAAACCTGTCTGCATTACCGAATATTGCTGACATCTTTAAAGGGTGCGCTAAAGACAGGCCGTAAATCCTGATAAACCACTAAGTGCTAAGGCAGCTCAGTGTTGTTAGATGAGAACAAGATAAAAGTTGGATACCAGGCTTTTATTTAAGCTTATCCAAGCTGGTCGTGAATATTTGAAGGGCAAAATTTATGTTTCATTAGTTATTTGTTCATGCCATGATGCAGATGTCGAGAGACATTCTTCCATTGTCTAAAACAATGCTTCATTAGATTGTTCATGTGCACGTGGTAATGTTTTAGATAAACATAAATCAGTTCTTTCTACTTCAGTTAACTGTTATCGCTTAACCTGACTCTTTGATATGTCTGTATTGCTATCTGTTGCTCCTTTTATTTACTTGAAATCCTTATTTATACCAGGGTGGCCAAACTACGTGTGTTAGTGAGCTTGTTTCTTCTTCATCTTGGGACATTCTCTTGCATAGGGTCAGTAACTCAGTATAAAGGAAGTTTTTTTATGATGAATGATGTCTGCGTTGCATTTTCTTGACATCAATTGTTGTTTTCAGATTGGGGATTTACTCATGTGCTATATTCTAAGGCATTCATCAATATTTTTGCCTGTTAAGAAGAACGGTTTTTTTCAAGTAACTGGCCTCCCACTCAATCAAAAGCCTATGTTTGCGAGTATGTCAAAAAATCAACAACCCCAATCCACGAAAGGAAAATACTTGGTAAGAAATTATGTTGAGCTGTTCTAAAGAGCCCATTCAAATCTTTTGTAACACTTCCAAAATAAATTAATGAATTTATGCCTCAGTAGCTCTGACTTTGTATTAGGAAATCCTATGTTTCTCTTGTATAGTCCTTGGACTGTTATTGTTGTTTTAGCTGATTCCTTGTCTTTCTGACCTCAGTGCTATCTGTGCCATAACCCAAAGATGTCACAAAACATATCTGGAGGCTGTGTCAATAATTCAAAAGTTGCATTCTCTTCTCCAGATACCAGTACATGGAAATTTGATAATCCAAAAAGCTCTGGAAGTTATGGTTCTGCAAATTTTAGAGAACCCAATTGTTTAATTGAAGGATTCAATCACTCAGAACTTCCTTTGACTAATGGATCAATGAAGTGTTCTAGTTTAGATAATCAGAATCCTAGGAAAAGAAAAAGGCTGTACAGTTGGCAACGCCACAACAAACAGAAGCAGATTTGTTCTGAGGACAGGTTGTCAACTGGGTGGAGTAAAATAAACATCAGTCGATTTGGTGTCCATGATGTTTTATTGGAGAACTTGTGTGCTACAGTGAATGATAAAGTGCAGTTTTTGGAACCAACGGTATATAATGATTCTTTAGCAATGAGCAGTGATGTGACTCATTCACATACTAAAGAGCCATATGGTGTATTGTCCTATGAAAAGTCACCAAGTTCTGTGTTTGATATTGGACCTTCCCAGTGTAACAGTAAATCAAGAATTCAATCTACATTCCCGCAAGTTGGACTTCCCAATTTCATGCATCTCAATGTCAGTAATTTCCCAATCTCGTCATAAATTATTATTTTATTCAACAATTAGATCTTTGACAATTATTTCTACAACCTAGTTTGTTTATGTACAAATGACTATGTTTTTTATTAGAAGTATTAGCTTGATGCATACTTGGTTGTCATGTGGGAGTGAACAAGACTACAAGAGTATGCAAGAAACAGGCCCATGCCTTGTGACTAGCACGTTTAAACCGTGTCCCAAAAACATATCTTGCTTTTGTGTTTGAGTTACTCATCCACAAATTGGGGATTACTTATGTTAATTTTTCCTATTTGGATGATTGGATCCGTTTATTTGTACCTTTAACACTAACCTGAGGATACGGCAACATATTCTACGAAGCAGTACATACTTGTTTCCTGGTTTTACTTCTACCTTTTACTTTACCTGACGATATGGAATCATATTCTAGGGAGCACTATGTATCTGTTTCCTGTTTTTCTGTAGCCACCTCCCTCAGCACATGGTGGTTGCTATGTTTTCTTAGAATCCACAAATGAATAACTGTTAACGTTTATACTGTTAGATGTATATGTATTGTATTTTCCCTCTACTTGAGGGGTTTTATGCATATGTGTATACACCTGTACATCTAGCCCTTTGGGCCTTGTAATACAGTTTGGTTGGCCACATTCTAACACATACATGTTTTGGTTCTTTGGTTGGTAGCTTGCAGCATACAAATCACCATTCAATCTTTTGGTGAATGCGTACAGTATTTCTGCAACTAATTCTTTTTGCATATATTGCTTGTCCATATCAGTTTTTTCAGTGTTGCATCTTTGCATTGAGTATTCTTGAAAATTAAGAGAACTGAGCAATTTAATGTCTTATTCATGATATCATGAATCAATAAAACAACTAATGTTTGTGTTATATCTTTGACTTACAGAATGGTCCCATCTGCTTCAATTGCTTAATGTTGAATTCTTCCAAATGTGTATCAGTAGATTTGCTTATATCAAGACATGCTATCTTCTACAACAGAAGGACTTCCTATAACGTCTTCCATGGCAACCGTATCCTTATCTACTTTATGTGCTGGCTTACACATGTAGCGTATGTTGATAGGGTCTCTTTGCTGGTAATCATTTGAATAGCTTTAAAATGAAAAAAGCCAAGTTACTCATACAAAATGGATGGGATGTTGGAGCACGAGGCAAGGAGAATCTGTGATATGGTTCCACTACTTTTTAGGTTGCATTCTGTAATATCCCTGTTAGCATTGGTGTTGTTGGCCCACATGGCCCAGGTTGTATACTTGTATTGGTGTCTGGTGGTTTAGTACCACCTTGGATTATATCCTTATAGCTCCAAACATAGTTACACATTCATTAGAGCTATTGCTTTGCTTTGTACATAGATGAGACATTCGCAAACTAGATTTTTGTGACCACATAACTACAACTTTGACCACATAGTTGTGTGAATTCTGACATTCAGAGTGAAAGACAACTCAATAAACAGTGTAGCTGCGAATTCTTTTTCTATTTAATATCTATAATGCCTTTCGTACTGAAAAGAAGTTAATCCAGGTAATGGATTGAAAGAGCAATTTTTTTGTAACTACACATATGGTCAAATTTCATATAGCCGAAGTTTTAACGGTTTCACAGAATTACAAAAACTTGATGCATATCAGCCGAAGTCTTTTAATTATCACATTTGCTTGAATGCAAGCTTAATAACTAGAGCCCATATTTCTAGTTTGAGCAAGCGCAAAACACTCCTTGTCCCCTTCAATTGCTAGATAAACAAAACAGTGCATGGATCGAAAAAAATAAAGTGACACTGTAAGCACACAAGCACTCTTGCTGCAAAATAAATTTGGTCAAGGATAAAAAAATACCTGGCTCATGTGCACATTAGTTGCAGCCTTGCAGGTAGTATTCGTTTAGATAGGTTTTAGCAACACATAGAGTTAAATACGAAGCGACACCAGTGATTCAATTTCAGGAAACAAGGTGTTGTAACTTATAACAACTTGGGCAGAAATGTTAGGCAAACTCAAGAGCTAAGGTATGTGATCGCATCATAATGGTGAGAAGCTCCTGTATCTTACATATGACCTGAATTCCTAGCTATTGTCCAAACTAAAGTAGGCTTCTAACAAAAGTGTACTCTTATGAGTTATGATAATGGAACATTTGTAGCATTGTGATATGGGTTAAAAAAAGTGCTCCCTCCATACTAAAAGATAAAGTCGTTTTGGACAGCGACACGGTCTCCAAAGTATAACTTTGACTTCTTATTTTTATAAAAAATATTTATCGAAAAGTGATATATGTATATTTTTATGAAAGTATTTTTCAAGACAAATCTATTCGTATGGTTTTCACATTAACAAACTCAACAACTTAAAAGTTATTCATGATTTATATTCCCAATGTTTTTTCCTTACTCAATCTTAAAGCGTGTAAAGATAGAACACGAGTAATGCAGTTGCTGGACACCCAGTTGTGGTGCCAGCCTGTCACCCTGAGTCTCGCAGAAGAAACATTGGCTTTTCTGAGTAAATGCTTTCAGAGTTATATGGGATCATGTCGTGGGCTTCTGGCATTCGGCACCTTTCTGTACTCTTAGTGGCAATGCTCTGGGGATGGTTCTGCCAAGGATTGAGGTTTTATCTTAAAGCTTGTGAGGGGTATATGAATTTTTGTTTGTGTTTGTTCGGTATATGATTTTCTTCTGCCCAATTCGCTGATTCTTGCAATGTAGATTTAGGATTTGTGCAATACCTCTAGGAGTATAGAAGCACTAATCATGTTACAATAATAATTTTTTTTACTTCCACCAATTAACTTTCTGGCAATCGCTGCTTTTATGATTTTTCATACAGTATTTTATGTTAGTTTTCCTTAATGCTGTTAGACATATTAAACAAAAGGAAAAGACCAGATGCATTATCTCTTATAATACATATATTTGGAATCAAGGGATGCTGCGCAAAGTTATTGAAATGCGACTGCCATTTGTCTACTACAACAAATTCGAATTCCTCGTGAGTCAAATATGTAACCGAGTATATTGTTAGTAAGGTTTATTGAGTGAAGAAGCTTCCTAAAATTTAACATAAACAAGCTTTAGACTAAACATGGATATTTCATCGTTAAGCAAAAATCCATTCAATGGAACATTTCCATGTGATTGGCAAAGGTGGGTCCAGTACAAGGTCCATAATGGATTACACTCATCACCATATGCCGCTCTATGGACATATAATGTAGGTTGAGTACTGATCCAGATCATGAAAACAGATGATGACTGCAGGGTAACGTTTGTTTCATCATTTTGTTTGCTATAGTCTTTTTCTATCAAAAGCAGATATAACTTAAAATATCCTTTGAAGGCAGTAAATTTTTTTGCTGAACCTTCAGATCCAAATGTATGTATGTGTAATTACTGCCAGGTGATTAAAACATCACATTCTAGATGCTGATACAGCCATTGGTGGAATGCATAAATCAATAGTTTTTTCCACTTATGTTTTCAAGCTTCAACTTTTTCTAATAACACATGTTCACATACCTACTAGAACTCTAGAAGCTGTAAGACATAATCTGCTGCTGATCTCTCTCTCTTTGTTTGCAGCATAGCAGATTTGGCAATAGGTCATTCTCTGCTGTCCTAGTTGCTGTAGCAGTAAGGCAATAGGCCACCACTGGTATATTAGTTGGTAGCTAATACATCAGCCATGTCTTGGTAGTGGGCTGACGTAGGAATTGTACTTCTAGTACTAGGAGTAGTTGAGGCTGTACTCAGCCATGCTCATGTGTACCTTATAGTTGGTACATGAGTTGTATATACTCTACCACTATGCAATGAAAAAAGGTAGTTCAGTTGCCACAAACCAAAGGGCAGAGCCTGGCCAACACTGGTGCTTGTGCTGTGCTCACCCCTTCTTCTACCTCTAGCCACAGTGAGTGAGTGTGTGCACTGGTAAGCTTACTGCTTACCTGTGCAGGGTAGCGAGGGACCCACAAGCGGTATCGGAGCCGTACAGCTGCGTAGTCAGACTAACCGCCGGTGATGGCACTTGGCTCGGAGACGGGCAACAACAGTGGAGCAGCGGGAGGCGGCGATGCTGCTGGGGCGGCCCAGCCACGACAAGAGGTCGTCGTGCGCACGGTGCGGGAGGTCGGCGGCACTACTTGGCCACAACTGACTCGCACCATGGCGAGTGGGCGGTGACCATGAAGGTCAAGCTCAGAGCCTGAAGGCTCTGGAACGCCATCGACAAGGGCACCGACGTGGAAGAAGATGACATGTCAGCGCTAGAGGTCATCCTCGTTGCTGTGCCTGCGGAGTACCGGGAGCCGTTGGGGGCGAAGAAGACTACTAAGGAGGCGTCGGGGACCATTGCAGCGATGCGCGTCGGCTCCGATCGTGCAAAGAAGGCGACGGCCCAGCTGCTGAAGCAGGAGTACGCCAACCTCAAGTTCAAGGATGGTGAGTCGGTGGAGGACTTCTCCCTCCGCCTGCAGTCGCTCATCAGCAAGCTGGGGAGCCACGGCGTCACCATCGACGAAAAAGAGACGGTCTCTAAGTACCTCCACTCCGTGCCAGTGAAGTACATCCAGATCGCTCTCTCCATAGAGACGATGCTGGACCCCTCCGCCCTCACCATTGAGGATGTGACCGGCGGTCTGCGGGCGGTGGACGAGCGCATAGAGCAGGCCACAACAACGACGGACAGCGGCAAGCTGCTGCTGACAGAGGAGTGGGCTGCCCGGATGAAGGAGAAGAAGTCCGGGGAAGCCTTCTCCAGCCGCGGTGGCGACGGCAAGCGTCGCGGCAAGGCTTCTTCGGAGAAGAAGAAGATCGACCCCAACGCCTGCCGGCGCTGCGGAAGACAGGCCATTGGGTAAAGGAGTGCTCAAATCGCAAGCAAGAGAAGAAGGCCGAGGCTCATTTGGCGCAGGCTGATGATGATGATGAGGCCACTCTCCTGATGGCGACGTTCTATGCACTGCACGACGTTGAGGCCAAGGAGAAGGGAGAGGTGATGGCGGTACAGGAGCACGGGAAGGCTCTGAAGTCTGTCAACCTCGACGAGCCACGCGCCCAAGTCCACTTCGGACGTGTGGGTGGCGAGCAGGAGCAGCGGTGGTATCTGGACTCCGGCGCCAGCAACCACATGACGGGTTCTAAGGTGGCCTTCTCCGAGCTCGACGGCAACGTGACCGGGACAGTGAGGTTTGGTGACGGCTCAAGGGTGGCGATCCGAGGGCGCGGCACCATCATTTTCCGGTGCCAGAACGGCGAGCACCGCACGCTGACGGACGTCTACTACATCCCCCAGCTGCGCTCGAGCATCATCAGCATCGGGCAGCTAGACGAGCGCGACAGTGAGGTGCTGATCAAGGATGGCATCCTCAGGATCAGGGACTGGGAGCAGCGCCTTCTCCCTAAGGTGAAGAGATCCCGGAACCGGCTGTACGTGCTCGACTTGAAGGTGGAGCAGCCCATCTACTTGGCTGCACGGTGCACGGAGGAGCCGTGGCTTTGGCATGCCCGGTATGGCCATCTCAACTTCGACGCTCTTGGTCGACTGGAGAAGATGGTGACTGGGCTGCCTCACATCTAGCACGCCAGCGAGCTGTGTGACAGTTGCTTGGCTGGGAAGCAAAGGAGGTTGCCGTTTCCGAAGTAGGCGAAGTATCACGTAGCGGGGGCCCTCGAGCTGGTCCATGGTGATCTCTGTGGGCCGATCACGCTGGCGACGCATGGAGGCCGCAAGTACTTCATCTTGCTGGTGGATGACTGTAGCCGTTTCATGTGGCTACAGCTTCTGACCAGCAAGACCGAGGCAGCGGAGGCGGTCAAGAAGTTCAAGACGCGTGCGGAGGCGGAGAGCGGCAAGAAGCTGCGCGTGTTGCGGACTGATCGCGGCGGCGAATTCACCTCTGTAGAGTTTGCAGCGTACTGCGTGGATCAAGGTGTGGTGCGCCACCACACCGCGCCGTACACGCCGCAGCAGAATGGCATGGTGGAGAGGCGCAACCAGACGGTGGTCGGCATGGCGAGGTCGATGATGAAGGCTAAGAAGATGTCGGCGGAGTTCTGGGGAGAGGCGGTGTTCATCCTCAACCGTGCGCCCACCAAGGCCCTGAAGGGCAAGACGCCGTTCGAGGCTTGGCATGGACGCAAGCCGAATGTGTCCTTCCTCAGGACATTTGGCTGCGTTGGCCATGTCAAGAACACAAAGCCCCACCTCGGCAAGCTGGAGGATAGAAGCACGCCCATGGTGCTGTTGGGCTATGAGGGTAGCAAGGCCTATCGGCTCTATGATCCCAAGGGAGGCAAGGTTGTGGTCTCTAGGGATGTAGTGTTCGACGAGATGGCTGCTTGGGATTGGGAGGATCAAGGCACCCGGGAAGCTGCTGGTTTCAGCAGCACATTTGCTGTCGAGCACCTGGTGATTCAAGGAGAAGGAGATGATGGCGCTGGAGAGCAGTCTCCACCAGCAGTGGCTCATTCACCTCCACCACAGTCCCCTGCGACGGCAGCACAGGGACCCCCCCGTTGGAGTTCGTATCACCACCCACCGACATCGATGAGTTCGTGGATGCTTTCCATGACGGCGAGGAGGTTCGGTTCAGGCAGGTGGACAACATTGTCAGCGAAGGGGGAGCTCCTGGGCTGGCTAGCCGGCTTCTGGATGACCTAGAGCTACTCCTTGTCAGTGCAGAGGAGCCGCCGACGTTCACAGTGGCTGAATGCGACTCCAATTGGCGCCGGGCGATGTTGGAGGAGATGAGGGCGATCGAGGACAATGGGACATGGGAGCTGGTGGATCCACCGGTGGGCTGCAGGCCGATCGGGTTGAAGTGGGTCTACAAGGTGAAGCGGGACGAGCGCGGCGCCATTGTCAAGTACAAGGCTCGGCTCGTCACCCGCGGCTTCGTCCAGCGCGAGGGCATCGACTTCGAGGAAGTCTTCGCTCCGGTGGCGCGCATGGAGTCGGTTCGCTTGCTGTTGGCCATGGCAGCAGCGAAGGATTGGCATGTCCACCACCTCGACGTCAAGTCTGCGTTCCTAAACGACGAGCTCGCGGAGACGGTCTTCGTCAAGTAAGCTCCGGGCTTCGTCGTCAAGGGCACTGAGCACAAGGTGCTCAAGCTGCGCAAGGCGCTCTACGGGCTTCGGCAAGCTCCAAGGGCGTGGAATGCCAAGCTTGATGCCACTTTGGGCGAGCTTGGGTTCACTCGTTGCGCCACAGAGCACGCGCTCTACACACGGCAACGGGGGAAGGAGGAGCTCGTCGTCGGCGCGTATGTGGACGATTTGATCGTCACGGGAGCGCGAGTGGAAGACATTGAAGCATTCAAGTGCGAGATGGCGGCTCAGTTCAAGATGAGCGATCTCGGCGCGCTCTCCTACTACCTCGGCATTGAGGTGAGGCAAGGGAAGGAGAGCATCTCCCTAGGCCAGTGCGTCTATGCGGAGAAGCTGATGGAGCGCAGCGGCATGGCGGAGTGCAAGCCGTGCGCAACTCCAATGGAGGAGCGGCTAAAGCTGTCCAAGCACAGCACAGCGACGAAGGTGGACGCGACGCGCTACCGGAGCATCGTCGGCGGGCTGCGCTACTCACGCATACTCGGCTGGACATCGCGTTCGTGGTCGGGTATGTTAGTCGGTTCATGGAGGAACCGCGTGAGGATCACTGGACGACGGTGAAAAGGTTGCTGCGCTACGTCAAGGGGACGCTCGATCAAGCGATCATCTTCCCCAAGAGTGGCGGCATGGGTGGGCTGTGGCTCACGGTCTTCAGTGAGGCACCCCCCAAGGCAAAGGAAGGTGAGCCGGAGCTCACTGTTTTCAGCGACGCGGGCATGTCAGGCGACATTGACGGGCGATGGAGCGCCTCTAATGTGCTTGTCTTCCTTGGAGCAGCCCCCATCGCATGGCAATCGCTGAAGCAGAAGATTGTGGCGCTGTCGACGTGTGAGGTGGAGTACGTCGCAGCGGCCACGGCGGCGTGCCAGGCTATCTGGTTGCGCCGGCTGCTGGGCGAGCTGACCGGCGAGGAAGCTCACCCGCCAGCTCTGCTGGTTGACAATCAGCCCGCCATCGCCCTCGCCAAGAATCCTTTCCTCCACGACCGGAGCAAGCACATCGACATCAAGTTCCACTTCCTCTGGGACTGCGTCGATGGAGGGCAGATCGTCATCGAGTTTGTCGAGACCGGCAGACAGCTCGCTGACATCCTCACCAAGTCACTCGGGCGCCTGCAGTTCATGGAGCTGAGGAAGATGATTGGCATGGATGAGGTCAAGGCTTTGGATTAGCAGCAGGATCAGGGGAAGAATTGTAAGACATAATCTGCTACTGATCTCTCTCTCTTTGTTTGCTGCACAGCAGATTTGGCAATAGGTCATTCTCTGCTGTCCTAGTTGATATAGCAGTAGGGCAATAGACCACCACTGGTACATTAGTTGGTAGCTAATACATCAGCCATGTCTTGGTAGTGGGTTGAGGTAGGAATTGTACTGCTAGTACTAGGAGTAGTTGGGGTTGTACTCAGCCATGCTCATGTGTACCTTATAGTTGGTACATGAGTTGTATATACTCTACCACTATGCAATGAAAAAAGGTAGTTCAGTTGCCACAAACCAAAGGGCAGAGCCTGGCCAACACTGGTGCTTGTGCTGTGCTCACCCCTTCTTCTACCTCTAGCCACAGTGAGTGAGTGTGTGCATTGGTAAGCTTACTGCTTACCTGTGCAGGGCAGTGAGGGACCCATAGAAGCTACTGGTGTTTACAGGCTATACATCCATGTTTACTCATCCTTCTCTCTCCCAATTAAGGATCATATGTTTACAGGCTACACATCCATGTTTACTCATCACTCTGTCTATTGTTTTTTCTTATTGACTTTATCAATGTAAATTTCTAAGGTTTTTGTTGTTAGGTGCCTTTCGCTGCCTAAACTAATGAATAAGCTCATCAGAAATTCTAAGCGCTGCCAGTATAAGAAACTACTTCTGAAGCATTGTTCTGTCAATTCCAAGGTACATATGAACAGATGAACATATTGAACTGTTTACAACTATCTAAGAAGCACTTGTTAGACAGCAGGGTGTGCAGGCCCATTGGGCTGCACTTCCCAGCCTTCCTTGGGCCCTGCGCTTGCACATGATTAGGATAGATATCATTGAGATATTATAGGCAACGATTACTGTCGATTGGTTCTGTTTCCATAAGCCAAATCCTAGGTCTTCCTTGCCTATATATGTGTAATCCATCACCCTCAATAATCAATCTATTATTTCCCTTGCCCATAAGATTTGTTTTCGTTGCAACACTTACCATCCTAAAGTTCTTTGCCTTATCAAAAATCTGTTATGTCATCTGAACTTTATATATAGGATTACAGATCGTGAAAGAATGTGTCAGACTAAATTGTAGGTTTTCTTAAATTTCTGACGCTTAGAAAAATCATGGCTATCCAATACAAATATGAAAGGGCATGTTGGTTGTTGTAGCATCGGAAATTAGTTCTCTACTGTTATGTTGCTTAACAAACCAAAGCAAATTGTTCAACCTAGTGTGCAGTGTTCTGCCTTGAGTTGCTATAGTATTTGACACATGCATATATGTTGGTCAAAATTGATAATAAACATGTATAATGACAAACTAAATGATTGAAGTAATATTCTTAACAGCGTGCAGCTGATGTTGCCAAGAATCATAATGGCAAGGCGCAATTTTTAATTGGAGGAAAATCGCCATACTATGATCAAGCTTATGTTCAGTTGGAGGCTTACAGTACACATCAACAAGTAGTTTCCTTCATCTGGGCAGTGTTGAGACGAATTATACCTGAGCCGTTGCTAGGAAACTCTTGCGGCAAGAGATCTTTAAGGATAAACATTTGGAAGTTTATAAAGTTGCGCAGGTTTGAAAAATTTTGCTTGAGCGATTGTATTGGTGAGCTGAAAGTATCACATTATTCTTGGATATCAAATATTGGATTATCTGATTGCTTTTGCTCTGCTCTAATGGAGAAAGAAATTTGGTTATCAAATGGATCTTACGAGGAGAAACTTCAGAATCTTCTACATTGTTGGATTAGTTGGATGTTTTCTGATATTGTGATACCATTAGTCAAGGCATACTTTTATGTTACAGAAAGGGAATCAAGGCGATATGATGTTTTCTATTATCCAAAGACAGTTTGGAGAGACTTAACTAGTACTGCTATTGCTTCCCTAAACAGACAAAACTTCAGGATTTTGCGTGGTACATCCAGGAAAGAAGCAAGGCAGTCATGCTGTTCTTCAAGAGTGAGGTTCGTTCCAAAAGCAAAAGATATGAGACCATTAGTAAATCTCAGAGGTCAATCAAAAGATGTCCTCCTCAATAATTGTCACCTGATTATAAAAAAAGTAAGGGATGAGAATCCAGACAAGTTTGGTTCTTCTGTTTTTGATTACAATAATGTGCATCAAAATCTCTGGCATTTTATTTCTTCAGTAAGAAGTCACCTGAAGGAAAAATTCAAGATATATATTGTTGTTGCCAATGTATCAAAGGCATTCAATTGCATTAAGCATGAGATGTTACTGAAAGTTGTGGATGATGCGTTGAAATGTGACGACTATGTTCTGAGGAAATGCAAAAAGGTAGTTTGCAACTGGTCTAAGAATGCCCTCTACCGTTTTGATTCAAATGTTTCTATCAGCAACGGTGATGATATATGTGATTTCTTGATTCAGTTATCATCAAGGGGTGGCATTTTTGTTGACCAGGTACTATATCATAACCCATTTCAAATTTCTGTGCACGGTTTGACTATGGAACATACTGTGCTACATATAGCTAACAAATCTTTATGCAAACTTTTCATCGGAAACTACTGAAATGGAATTATAATATTCGTGACCTTGCTGTTTCTGTTCATTCATTCTTATAACTACTGAAATGGAATTATAATATTCATGCAACTACTGAAATGGAATTATAATATTCGTGCCCTTACTGTTTCTGTTCATTCTTATCTGAGTAGAATTCCAGAAATAATGGAGGTCACCATCACCCAAGAAGCACAAAGTATTAGAAGTGAGGGGAAAACAGGATACTTTTTGGGCCCTAGGTTAGCTTAGTGATGATTGGCTGGTTGCAAACAAGTTCCTAAAAATTACGGAAGGAAGGCCTTCATGTAAAACATGTTTGTTTGCATCAATTAATTTTGTCCATGTAAAACAGGCCTCTTCCTGTTAGTCTGTTACATCCTGACAATCTACAGAATAGAAGGTTCGGTAAGTAAATACGTGGCCTCAGATGACATGGTTTGCAAACCAACATAGATTCTTAACTTTGATAAGCCATGTCATGTAAACATGCAATCTATGTGCAAATTAATAGACTTTTTCTTTTATTTCTAAATGGTTTTAACATTGCTAGGCTTGGGCACAACTACAGAACTATTGTGCAAATCAGGATTCTAGGAGTGTGCAGCAGCTATGGCAAAAAGACTGAAAAAGGATTTTACAGCTTTACTTCCTTTTCGACTGACCTCCAATAATCCTAATAAAACCACTAACAAAGTGCTAAGGAAACTTTTCCTATGCTTCTCAGTAAAATGGTGCTAGGATGACTCTACCTGTAAGTTGACTATATAGTGATCCTGTGACACCTTTCATGCTATAGTTGTGTCTTTGCTTGGCAATTTGTTCACTAACAATAGTTTGAGTTGTATAATCAACTGTCAATCAGCAAATAACCTTTTCTCTATCGAAAATCAGGGAAAATTTGGCAAGATACAGAAGAAAGAGATTCAGTGTTTCCTTTCCAAGCAAGTGGAGTGCAATGTTTTGAAGATTGGGCAAAACTTCTACTCACAACAAGTAGGCATCATTCAAGGAAACAAGTTATCTCCCAAGCTTTGTTCCCTGTACTTTGGTCACCTTGAAAATTCTGAGCTGTCGAAATTTCTTCATGATAGCAAGATTGATTCAGAAAAGGACGTTTCAACACCTAAAAGTTTATTAATGAGGTTCATTGATGATTTCATATTCATATCTTTCTCCAAGGAGCATGCTCTAGATTTTTTCAATAGGATAAGAAGAGGGTTTTCTGACTACAATTGCTACATGAATGACAAAAAATATGGTTTCAACTTCGAGGTTGCAAATAGTGAGCATTGTTGTAATAGGATCTACAGGGCTGATGATGGATTCTGTTTCATACCATGGAGTGGTTTGCTTATTAATTGTGAAACTTTGGAAATTCAAGCTGATTATACAAGGTATGCCTATCGGTGTCAGGTTTAATTGGTGAATTCAATACATTAATAATAAGATATGGAGATGAACTTTACTAGTCCATCTAGTTTGTGTCAAGATACTCACTGAGTAGTTGTGGACTACTGGCTGTTTCCTCTAATCAATATCAACTTAAAACAGTTTGGTTTTTGCCATATTTTCTGTTGAAATCTTGGCATTCCTTGACGTGATTTTTTTTAGTAAAGTCTGATTTGCCTCCATGAATTAAAAAAAAGACCCTTGAATTCAAATGCCAACATAAGCCCCTTAACTTTCGACACTGAACAGATTACCCCCCTAAATATTTTATAGTCCTCTTAACTTTCAGTGACTAGTTCATGGTTAAATCAGATTTGACTGTTCCTTTTTTCCAGTTTGTGAACAAAAAGTCTATCCATAATATCTTTGGACAACACAGCATCAAACAAGTATCTTTGACAACTAATTTTCATAGTATTGTGTTGGTAAAAAGAAATAAAGATACAAAACTATTATATTGCTGAACTTGCATATATTATATTTTGGAACTTGCACACAAGAAAAATTTCTTGAACACTATTTTAACATATTAGTCAATATATAGCAGTCAATGTTCAGGAAATTTGGCTGCTCAAATCATAAAACATCATATATATCTGAATTAGGGCAGTGTTAACAGAAGATCTAGCCTGGTTAGAGATGGCAATGGGGAATTCCCTGTCTGGTATTGCCTCCCCATCCCCGTCCCCACGAGGCAAAAAATTTCCCATCCTCATTCCCAATAAAACTCACGGGGGACGTTTTCTTCCCATCCCCGCCCCCTTTGGTAAAGGAATCCTGGTCATTTTTCTTAACCTTTTGCCTTTGTAACAGAAACTTGTTTCTTCCCATTAAATCATAATTATATTTCTTACTACTTCCTAATTTTGTTCCTGGTCATTTCGTTCTCTTTGACAAAGTTTCAGAACCTAATTTTGTCTACCAAACTGTGTTGAAGAAGTAATGGAGTGCATTTTAAAACAGGTATCTGGACATTTCGTCCACCATCACTGTTAAGACGCATTCCTCAGCAAAGTACCTTGAGAGCAAGCTATGTCATTACATGCGTCCGAAGTGTCATCCCATTTTCTTTGATTCCACGATCAACTCACCAGGCACAGTAAGACTGAATATATATCAAGCTTTCCTCTTATGCGCAATGAAGTTTCATTGTTATTTCCAGAGCATGCCTGATGCCAGCATTAGGAAACTGGAGCTACTGCATATAATTAAGAGAACTTTCAGGTACCAAATTATCTTCAAATTTTTTATAGTAATGTGCAAATGGTGCTAGATTTTATTATTTATTGACTGTATTAATTAACAAAGATTCAGTATAAAATGTATTGGAAGTTGCTACTGTCTTTCCTCGTGATTTCAATTTTTTGGTGAAGCAGGTATATGCATAACCTTATCGCCAGGCGGATCCACGATGTGGAGCTGCAATACAATGTGCGCCCAGTTCTGAAGCTTAGGCGAAAAGAAACCATGTGGCTCGGCCTATCAGCATACCTTCGAGTGCTTCAGAAGAAGCAATCACGTTACAAGGATTTGTTGGCGTTGCTGAGAGAGGAAATTCGGAGGTGTGGCCATCTGGACCATCACAATGATGGTTTGCGCTACGCTGTGGATGACTCTCACTCATCAATGTTCTGGAAATGTAAGTTTTAGTAGGAAACTGGGGGCTATTAGATTGCTGAAACTACTGTTTTATGTGAACATGAACCTTTGGTGTCCAAGTGACAGACGAGTGGCATCAAGCATGATTGTGACTTTTTATTTGATGTACTCCCTCCATTTCGTAATGTACATTCATGGACTTGGATTTATTCGTTTCACAATGCTAGTCTTTATGATTTCTATTTTTTCTTTTCATAGGGAATATAAGATTTTGAATGCAAAATGGGAAAGGGAAAGACCAATATAGGCAGAGCACTTAGGTTGCGTTTCGTTGCATTTATTAATCTGTATATAGCCTTGTACAGTGCAGCTAATCTGTGTTTGGTTTTATGTATATGTTCTTATATAGGCATGCATAGTGCTTAAGTTAGGCCAAATGTTGTACTACACAGTGCGCTAGAATTGACTGGATTAGGAATTGGAATCCTAGAAGACTAGGCGTCGCTGATGAAGCACCCAATGATTTTTCTCAATAATTTTGGTGTTCTCTGATATGTTTGTTGTCTGATTCATTCTAGAATTAGATGAAGTTGGTGTGGTCTAAAGAGGAAGTCCCCAACCCCAAAGAAGCAATAAGACAGCTGCTGATGCCAGCGTTTTGATAGTTGAACGAGATCCGGGCTTACCTTGGCAAATTTGGGAGTATCCTGCTAATAAAAGAGACCAAGTTCGTGAAGGATTCTGGTCCAGCAAGTATATCCTGCTTCTGGTCCAGCAAATCATCCATACAGGATTATGCATGGTGTAAGGGACCGTGATGCCTAGGAGGGGAATGAATTAGGCAACTTAAAATTCTACTTCTAACTGAGGTCTTTTATTTCACCTAGTCAAAACCTATGCAAAAAATAAACTATCTAAATGTGCAACTACGATTTTGCTAGTGTGTTGCTATCTCTACCGTAAAAAGGAGTTATGCAATCTAGGTTCTAAACCTATCAACTAGCCTATCACTAAGCTAGAAAAGTAAAGCACAAACCAAGAATGCAATATAAATATGAAAGCTAAAGAGTAAGGTAGAGAAATGCAAACTTCCGTCGACGATTCTGGTATTTTTTTACCGAGGTATCGAGAAATGCGTAACCTTTTCCCTAATCCTCGTTGGAGTCCCTCGCAAGGGTCAAGCTCTCGGTCGGGTAACTCCGTGGATAGCCCTGACCTTCCCTATGCGCAAGTGGGTCTCCGGTGTGTCTTCCGGCAAGCCTCTCCCGGACCACTCCTCGCCGTCTTCACTATCAAGCTTTCGGTCAAACCACCGCGGGCCTTGTTTCCTTAGGTACATGGTGGCGGCCACACTACAAACGCGGTTGGTGTGATCTCGCAAGACTACAAGCCCATCCGATGTACAACAATGGTGTGCGCAAGCACCGAGTGGTAAGAGGTGTGCAAACCTCACTAAACATTAGGCCTAAACCTAGAGCAAGCGCATAAGCGGTGGTCTAACTAACCTAAGCACTTCGCAAAGCACCTACGCTAATCACCGAATGTATCACTAAGCACTATGTAAGTAGAGATCACTGAAGTGGTGTATCAACACCCTTGATATGTTTCATCAGCTCTCCGCTTCTCAAATGGCCGGTTGGGGGTCTATTTATAGCCCCACAAGTGAGAACTAGCCGTTGAACCTGAGACCTAACTTTCTGGTAGTGACCGGACGCTGATCACATCCCGATAGGACGCGTCCGGTCCTGCCGATCGTTGGAGCGCGCACGTTGATCGGACAGTGGGCTGAATCCGGTCTCACTCGATCGGACGCGTCTGGTCGCGCTGGCGCCGCTCTGGAACCTTTCTGGACATGATCGAACGCTACTTCTTGGTGCGTCCGGTCGTCCTGCCGTCGCGTCCGGTCACGCTGAGAGCGTTGCTGTTGACGATGAATAGTGAAGTCCATGTGTCCGGTCACTGCCTCGCTCAGCGTTCGGTCGCTGCTGCTGACGCCTGCTGTTGCCGAGCAACTGATCGGACGCGTCCGGTCCTCATAGGGCCGCGTCCGATCACCTTTGCCGAGCTCGTTTTTTTGCGATCTTGCGTCCGGCTTGGTTCTCATCTTCGTGTTTGGACTTTGCTTGATATCTTGGGTCTTCTCTTGTGCTTCTAGGGTCTTGCTTATGGTGTTCGTGGGATCATCATGTCGCCTTCGTCCAAGTCACGTCTTGCACCTTATTGAACTACAAAACAATTACTTGCAAATTCATTAGTCCAACTTGGTTATGTTGGTAATCAAACATCAAAATCCAAAGTAAATGGGTCTAGGGTCTAATTTACTTACAATCTCTTCCTTTTTGGTGATTGATGACAACACGACCAAAGCAAAATAATAAAAAAATTTGGAATTTAAAAACTATTTAGTTGCTAGGATGCAATGCAAAGGGCAAATTTATATGATGCTAAAAAATACCACATATAAACATCTTTGGAAACTTATCTTGCCCTTGCAAATGTCTCCATGTGGTATTATAGATTTAAGCCTCCCCCTAACTCCATAATCCACTATCCTCCCTTTCTCGAACCATTACCACTTGTAAATTATTATGATCGGGCTTGCTTTTGGTCCTACAAATTCCCCCCCCTTTGAAATCAAACACCAAAAAGAAAGACATTAGAGCACAAGGGAGGGTCAAACTTTGTGATCCTTTGTATGTGGAGTGGAATATGTCATAAAATTTGACTCTCACGTTACATAGACTAAACTCCCCCTAAATATATGTATACAAATGATGGAGAATGTAGTTTATGCATAATTGACAAATTAATGCTCAAGGGACTCCATTTTCCTTGCAATGTGACTACTACACACATGATAAGCTTGAAAAGGTGTTAGTCTCAAAGCATCAAACTTATAGAGTAACCTCCCCCTAAATTTGTGCACATAAGTATGGAATACTTGTAGAAGACATGCACATTGATTTTAGAATAAAAAATACCACTTGAAAGATGACATCACATGAATGTGAGAATCATTTTCGAAAGTGATATCCGGGAGAAATTATCTACAATTTGGACGTTGGCACATATTAGATGAACAATTTTAAAACAAACTACGTGCCGTGCTCCTAAACAATTTAAACCATGTAGGTTTGCTCCAAGGGTTAAGAGTGAAACCGAGCAAGACTACCATAAAATATACCTAGTGTACGCAAGACAAAAGATTAAATATGCAAATGCAAACATAGGCATGAAAAGAAATTAGATGCTAATTGAAATTGCAAAAAATTAAATCTAGTTACATAAGATGTGGAGGAAAATTTGGGTCCATAGTATTCACTAACTCACTTGGCAATTACCTTGTCCATAATGATGCACCCCATGAAATGCACTCATACTTTACCAAGTCTCCAAATTCTCCGAAGTCTATCGGACTTCTCACTTCTCTTTTGGGATCCAAACATTCTTGGTGCTCTTCATGTTGGAAATGATCTCCTTTGGCACCCAAATGCGTTTGGCCCCATTGTTGGCCTCTTTGGCACCCAAATGCGTTTGGCCCCATTGTTGGCCTGCTTGTTCACCTTGATGGCCACCACCTTGTCATTTTTCTTCTTCTTTAAGAGATAAGGTGTGGAGGCCTTTTTATTCACCTTGTTGGTGTAGGTGTTGGAGAGTTTGATTATTTCCTTTTTGTTTTTCTCTTTCTTCTTAGCTCCTCCCTCATTCTTCACCTTGCACTTATAGGACTTGTGGCCTTCCTTGTGGCACACGTAGCAAACCACGGTTTGTCCTTCATCAAGCTTCTTCACTCCCTTAACGATGTTATCTTGATGATGTTGGGCTTGCTCCGTTTTGTCTTTTACTTGAGTCAAGTCCTTGGTAAGACGAGCCACTTCTTGCTTGAGTTGCTCATTTTTCATTGCGACCAACAACTTTCTCAACACAAACTTGGTTGCACAAGGGTGAGTCTAAACATAAATCATTGCAAGAAGTAGAAGCATCCTTTTTACGCATGTCAAAGATAGAATTTTTCTTTTTAGGTGCCTTGGTGAGGGTTGTACCGACGGCTTTAAGATTAGCAACTTTATTAGTTAGCTCATCACAATGTTTGCACATGGTTTCTATTTTAGTAAGCAACATCCTGTGAGCTAGCTAACTTTTCTTTTAATTTTTTATTTTTCTTTACAAGTTGCTCATCATTGATTGTGCATGTATTTGTTATTGCACTAGCCTCAAGTTGCTTAATTTTAGTAGATAGTTTAATATTGAGATTAGCAAATGTCTCATATTGTTCAAGTAAGGTTTTATATGTTTCTTGTGAACTATCTAGCTTTTCTTGCAACATTTTTAGCTTCTTTTGTTGGCTAGTGCAAGCCTTAACATATTTAAGATTTTCTTGCACAAGTTCATTAAGAGAAGACATTTCATTATCACTATCACTCTCACTAGAGGATGAGCTCTCATTACCTCGTGCCATAAGGCACACGCGAGAAGAGCTTGATGATGAGTGCTTGTGACCTCGCCTCTTGTGATGGTCTTCTTCTTCACTTGAAAAATCATTCCATGACCTTATTGATGTGAGGGCTTTGTCCTTGCACGCCTTCTTCTTTGTCTTGGGTGTGGGTTTGTTTGGACAAACTTCCACAAAGTGTCCTAACTCACCACATACATAGCATCCTTTTTTTTTCTTTGCTCATTTCTTTGATTGGTGAAGATGAAATCTTGAATTTGGATGTGCACACCCTTGACATTGAGCTTTTGGATCATCTTCTCCACCTTGTTGATAAGTTTGATTGATTCTTCATCAAGATCGGAGGTGGAGGAGGAAGATTAATCATCATCACTTGAATCATCATCATCATCATCATCATCATTATCTTCTTCTTCATCTTCACTTGAGGAGCTTGAGCTTGAGCTTGTCAAAACTTGCTTGCCCTTCATCTTTTTTTTCTCACAACATGCGAGAGCTTTGTCTTTGCTTGATGATGAGGCTTCTTCTTGACCCATCTTTCGTGACATTTCAAATGCCACTATCTTACCAATGACTATGGCCAGGGTCATGGTGCTCA